TTTCTTTTTTAGGTCTCAGTCAGCCCTCAGGCTAACTTTATAAAAGTTCCGACCAATCTACATCATCTTTGACATTGTTGTACATTTAAAAAAAAGTAACTACTAAACTTAGAAATACAAATATACACCGATAAGCTGTCCTATTCTTTATGGGAAGTTTAAACCTTTTTGCAACTCCTAATAAAATGTTAAAGAAGGCGTTCTTTTGTTTACAGTGGATGGTGTTGAAGGAAATCGCAAAAACTAAAGGATATAATTTAATTTGTTATCAGTAAATCAATCCAAATAAAATTGTCAAAACCAGTATCCAATACTGGTCGAGCAATTCTTTTTCAAATATTTATTTGAGCGAACAAATGCTTTTACATGATTATTGTTTAAAATGGTAAAAAATAATGCTAGTTTTTAGCGTCATTAGAAGATTGTAAACAGCGATAGTTATACACGTGGTTCGTTGAACTCGTAATGCGAATGTAGCTGTGAATTTGTCAGGCGAATGAATTTGCGATACAAATATTTTTTGCAAATGTTTCGATTTTAATTTTTACAATTAATTTAAATTTTTATACACAACACAATTATTATATACGTGTACAGTATAAGAGATACATTACTGTCAGTAAGTTTTTATAATGTTTAAGAATATTTTGTGATATTTTCTGTATCCGCTGTTAATTAAGGTGAAGTGGTTAGTTCAACAAACATGTCGCTAAGCTAAAGGACTTTGATCAGTATGCAATTAGCCCGCATCAAAACATAGAAACGGGGGCGCTGGCGTGCAGCCTACGTGCGACGACCGCCTAATGTGTAAATAATGTCGCCCGCTCATTAACTTTTACCTACCTACTCCATTAACAACTACATTTTGACGTATCCTTACAACTAATGTTATAGATAAATAAATATTTAATATTTTTCTTTAGTCTTAGGGGTCTTGTAAGTAAAGTCCGCCCTTAAATCTACGTTCTCGTGATTACCAATAGACTATTTTTGTTGAAAATATAATTCTGAGTAATCCAAATAATAAGATTTAAGCCTGAAGCGTGCAGCAAATAGGGCAACATTAGTTTCGACGTCACAACCAAACAATATGTCATAAATTGTAAACTCAGCGCCGGTTAGTTTGCATTAGAATGGCCGGGGCCGGGGCACGCTCCCCCGGGCGACGCGACGCCGCCGACCCGGCGACGACGCGAGGCGTTCGATTTCACCCGGAATTAACTCGATAATTCTCTAATTGTGCAATTAGCCGACGGCAATTTGGTCTCGGCTTATCGACAGTGAATTACACACGACGTCCGCTCCGTTCCGGACGCCTCGTCGACATAATATCATATACTAACGAGTTCATTTACTTAGAAATTTAAAACGATGCGAACACATCGTTTGGGTCCATTTTCAAAGTCCCATTAAATTTAATATATGTTGAAGAGCTTTGAAATATGTTTATTTGCGATGTAGAAAATGAACTTAATTCAGTCATTTTATAAAAAAATGTAACACAAAAGTCTTATTAAATTATTTCTTGTTATTTTTAATTTTGAAATAGAATTAAAACCAGGAGATTAGATGATTTTAAAAAGCCAACATAACTCACAAACACAAAGCGTTTAATGAAAATCATCACACGACATTAAATTCGCTTCAAAGCAACCTCTTGCCGTTTAACTGCAATAAAGCGGCTTATTTGATAAGCGATAACGGCTGTGATAATACAATATTATAATTTAATGGTGCATCGTAATAAAATTAATGTGAGAAGCAATAAATCGTGGCACGAGAGGTCGCTCGCATCTCCCGAGCTTGGCGCGCCTTCGCCAGATTGGATAATTTCAAATTATCCACCGAAATTATGATGAAGTGAAATGAATATTCAAGCGAAACGTTTAGACCTCGACGTGTTATTAACATGGTCGTGGCGTCGTTACCGGCCAAATTGTATTTCATAAAATTCATAACCATACTTATGACCTAATATTTCTTGAAAATACTTTATTGAAAATGATCGAGGGTCATCATCTATCGTGTATGTACTGGGTGCGCCAGACGTGTAGTCATCAATCGGGTGTAATGCCAACTATTAAATATACAGTTAACAACAGCGTTAAATTAATTTCGGTATCGTTCTGAATATGTTAAATGAGTTTGAACCTATGTCACATAGAACAAGACTGAATCAATTTCAAGCACTTGTTTGTTACAAGGTGTAAATTGCAGTAATGCTGTCTCAAGCACCTCATTTTACCTATATGTTATATCTAATTTCCTCTATACTTCTTAGATGTTGGAAGAGACGATTCATACTTCTAGTTTTGTCCATTCTATTGCCAGTAGTCTGTTCTAATGCACTCTGTTTGAATAGTAACCTAGACATTAAAGTAAAACTTCATCGTCATGATAACTAACATATTTTTTATGAGTCCGTGCACACTTGCATCCTTGAACCACGCCGGCTACCTGACCCGATACTACAATTTGTGCCCGCATTAGGTAATCTCGTCTCATTTCGACTCGTACGGCTTTTTTTACAGCGGAAAGATCTTCGTCATTTTTGACAAGGAAAAGGCCATCAGCGTATAATGCGTAGCGAGGCGCCGTGGCTCTCCGATCCAATCTCCGAGTGGCCCGGCTTGGTTGACGACCAATTATGGATATCACTCGGTTTCGGTCGGACCCAAATGGGGCATAATTCCTAGGGTAATTATGAGCGCGGCGCTTGCCTGCCATCGAATCTGCTCTCCATCTCCACTGACACGTATTATCCAAATTGCTTCGATGTCTTTGTGCGCCTCGGATGCGTTTTTTTTAGTTTCTTTTATTTATGAACACCATATCGCGTGTTTTGAAGGTTAATAAAACTAATTCACATGTACACAATTAATTGGCATGTTTTATCTGTACGGAGAAAAGTATAATATTAAAGATAGCCACAGACAGTAAATTTTTATTCAAATATCACTATGACAAGCTATTTAAAACGATTATGTTATATTATTAATTAAAATGCTAACTTAGCTGCCTCAGCTACGTAACATGTGACATATTGTGAACATTACGAGTAAAAAACATGTTTGGATTTGGATATGTGTTGCTGTAATAAGTAGTACATTATCTTTAGTAGTTCAGATTCCTTATTGATATTTACTATAATCTAAATAAAACACAACAACTTCGACGTAGGTAAATTCGTATCAGCACAATTTGTCTCATGTCTAAAATGTTTGAACCCTGTTACTTGCTTTCAAAAGGCTTTAATTATTGTACTGTGACCATATTCCTGCATCCAAAGAAGACTAAAGAAAAGTCAACCAATTATTTTGCTAGTAAAAGACTGAATCAAATGTTTCCTTGATATTGAGTCAATTTAAATACAAGTATGACATACGTTAATGGAGTGCTGGATGTTAGTTACATGCACACGAGTAGATCTAGTTGATAACGCGCCACCACTTATTATTCCTATTTACTCTGTGGCCGCCAACACATCACTTGTGTACACAACTGTACCTATATGTGTTTAATTTTAGATTTTATAGTCACAATTTTCATACATATTTTTTAACTTTCATAGCACTGTCGCAACCGGTATTTAGCAATTTTAACAAACAATATCTCTACATAAGCAACACTCTCAAAATCATTGTTTGTATATCCTACTAATATTAGAAATGTGAAAGTTTATTTGGATGGATGTTTGTTATAGTTTGTAGCCTATAGACGTTGAGGATAGTTTGAAAGAACATATAGGCTAGTCACTCTTGTTTTCTTTTTCATTTCACGGAGTAGCGGGCAAAAGCTAGTGATATATTGAATATATAATATCGTCGATATTAGTGTCCGTAACTTGAAACCGACAATGTACGACTGGTGGAGAAGGCACAATATAAGCCATCGGTCCTTTAAAAGTCAAGAATTCTTAGCTGCTCCATTAATCTCCGCTTAACAAATGGATGGATGAAGCAAAAGATAGTGGACTCTCCAGTTCCTATCTTTTATCTTTTACCGATATATAGATATGTACATATATCTAGTGATGGTGAGGTGCATCGGTAGTGAACAGTTGTAAGGCGCGGCGCACACTGGCGGCGGCGACAGCTGCGCCAATCACAATAAAAAGGGCGTGGCGAGGCCCCGGACCCCGGCCTGGTCCCCACATCCGAGCCCCGCATTATGTTATTGCATACAATGAAACTTTTTTATTGACCCTTTGTCTCATATTGGGGTGAAATATCCGGTCGGATGTTACTTCTACACTCACCTTTATTTAACATCGAATGGGTGCGGGGAACGGATTATGCATTTTTTCTTTCTTTCTTTGATGTAATTTAATCTACTCTTACATTGAGGTTATAATAGGTTTTTGAAGTGTTGTAATTTATGTAACGGATATACTATTATCACACAGTTGTTCTTATTAATATGGTGGTGCACTTTCCTCGAAATTTCAATTTTAAAACCTGCAATACTACTTAAGTAGATTTTGTGTACTAAATTTGTAATATATGTGCAGTACAGTATACATCTTTAAATAAAATCTCGATAAATAAATACACTTAAATTAAACTCAACAGAATCAAACAAATACAAAACATCCAGCGACTGCCAGTGATAAAGCCTCAACTGTATATTACGTCCTTGTGCTTAATCAACATCGATGTTTACGAGCGAGTTGTGCAGCGGCAGCGGGCAGTGGGCAGCGAGGAGCGTTTATTAATTAGGACGTCCCGCGGCCGCGGTAGCAGTAGCATCGGGACCTGTCACTGCGCTGCCTAATTGTAAATACACTTCACGGGCTCACGTAATTTATTAAAATTATTTCTGATCGCCTCAGGCACCGACTCGACCGCGGCTTTTATTCTCATATAAATAAGTCCATAAATCTGACTCCACGCTCGCAATGGTTCTCACGGTCTCCCCCCGGCTCAATAATTAAACCCGAATAAATAATTATTTCTTTGTTCATTCATCGTGATTAACTATTTCACTGTTCATCTTTCCAGGAACACCCGAGTCTGCGTGGCACGCCACTGGCGATGCTCGCGGCGCAATGCAACAAATTGTCAAGTAAATCTCCCCCGCCGCTGGCTGATGCAGCCGTCGGCAAGGGCTTTCATCCGTGGAAAAAGAGCCCGGGAACCCACTCGCCGCCAGGCGCCGGCTCCGGTCCGCGCTCGCAACCGCCTTCCTGCGCCCCCTATGCACGGCCACCAACCTCCTGCGCTGCCGCTCCATCTTACGGCAACGACCTTTACTTTCCCTCGTCCGGAGATCAGCTACTAGGCAAAAGTGAATCTAGCGCGAGTCTCGGCTCGATGTATTCAAGGCACCCTTACGAGTCGTGGCCCTTCAACGTGGGAGGAGGTGGCGGCGGCGGCGCGCTGAAAGCTGCGGACATGGGGGGCGTCGGTGCCGTCGGAGGTACGTGGTGGGATGTGCACGGCGGTTGGCTAGATGTCGGCGGACAGATGGCCAACTACGCCGGCCAGGACTACTCGCAACTGACACATTCCTTATCGGGCGGCGCTCACCTCCTGCCACCCGCGCCGCACTTGCTACAAGATGCGTACAAGTCGGTGCTTCCGACGCAGGGTTCGTTCGGACTGCACGCGCCCGGCTCCCCGGCGCCGCCCGCGCAGGCACCATCGCCTCGCTCGCAGAGACGATACGCGGGCCGGGCCACCTGTGACTGTCCCAATTGCCAGGAGGCAGAGAGGCTCGGACCTGCAGGAGCGCACCTGCGCAAGAAGAACATCCACAGTTGTCACATCCCCGGGTGCGGGAAGGTGTACGGCAAGACGTCCCACCTGAAAGCTCATCTACGATGGCACACCGGCGAGCGGCCGTTCGTGTGCAACTGGCTATTCTGCGGCAAGAGATTTACACGCTCGGATGAACTACAGCGGCATCTGCGCACGCACACCGGCGAAAAGAGGTTCGCATGCCCGGTGTGCAACAAGAGGTTTATGCGATCGGACCACCTCGCCAAGCACGTGAAGACGCACAACGGCGGTAAGAAGGGCAGCTCTGAGTCGTGCTCGGACTCGGAAGAGAACAGCCAGGGTGAAGGTGGCGGCGGCGGACGCTCACCCGAGCACGTGCTGGACGTGAAGCCGGGTACGCTCGTGTGACGGGGGCGTGCGGCACTGACCGCTCTTCCACCGCCGCTCCTGTTAGCCGCTCCGCGGCCCGCGCCCTGTCTCAGCCCTGTACATATCGAACCTCTGTATAGAATGTAATTATAATTAAAGACTTAGCGCTGACTGGTGTTGCGTCGTGTATATTATGTTCGTGTGAAACTTCAAGTGTACAGTATAGATACTATGAAATATTGTCTATTATAATTAGGAATTGTACGGTAACTTAATTTAAGTAGAATCACTCTTATAGTCGAAACTTACATGTAATTTATTTAAATATTGTTAATAGTTCCACTGGTCCTCAATAATTGAATATCTGTTAAATTATCTGTACGTGTTTGTTACATTATTTACTTAATTGTAGAGTTTATGCAAGAACATAAGAATTTAACTAAGTATGTATGTAGGTACACACAGCTACAGACTAAAATTGTATATAGGCAAATTGTCACAAATAAAAGCTGTTGCTAAAATCTTACTACTGGTGAATTTTTAACATTATTTCTAAATATTTATAGAACCAGTAAATATTACTTTTTCAAGTCTATAAATAAATTGGCATTTAGTAAAAATACATTCATGGTATATACTCTTACGTACTTTCATTATTAAACGATTTTATTTTACTGTAATATATAAGTTTTCATGTACACATTATAAATAAATAAACTAACAATAATTCGTGTGAACATAAAAGGAGGAATAAATAGGAAAATGGTGAAGTGTGAAATAAAATAAAAAATCAACGATACACATTGGTTCTAGATATCCTTTACCCCACTAGTAAAGACATCAACTTTCCTTCCGCCAATAGCATAATTACTGTGATATTTTGTCTATATGTAATGAGCCTGAATTTAACGCTATTATTTGTAACTAGTGTGAAGAATGTAGAATCAATTATTTGTTTTGTTTAAATCTAGCAAATAGTAAGTGTTTGCGGTAAAATATATTTAAAGTAACGTGGAAAAGAGTTTTTAGTTTGATTGTCTTTTTGATAAATTGGTCCTAAATTATGTGATTTTGGTTTGTAAAATTAATTAAATATGTCGATATATTCATGGGAAGAATGTATTTGTGTAACTATTATGTATAATATGATGATACGATATTGTACAAACTTACGCTAATAAAACGCCTAAAATTGATTTATAAAAATTAAATGTATTTTCCGAGTGGATATCTGTATTTTCATTGCAACCCAAATTAAAATAGAAAATGAATAAAGGAGGATATAACTTAAGGAATGTTTACTTAGCGGCTAACTTGCATTTGCTTCTGCTAATAAGAGCAAACATGGAAATCAAAGGTTTTGCAATTTTCAGTACCAAACATAAAGTAATTCATTAAGTTATTCAATCCCAAATTAATGCCAAGTAAGAATAACGTCAGTATTATTTTAAAAATCATAGTAATTAAATAAAAGTTAAAAATGTTTATAAATCTGCCAGTTATGACTATCCATCTTTGACCAAGTTAGAAATTAAAAAGTACCAAATGATCAAATGATAATAATAAAGGATATTGTTCCTGTCTTAGTGATGATAATGATTATAGCAGAGAGAGATAAAGAGAGAGAGAAAGAGAGACATTACTAAAGTAGGTAACTGAAGACTTTATTTTCATATACGTATCAATATTAACAAAACTATTAGATCTGTAATTGTCATCGTAATTTACTTCTTTATTATAAATAAGTCCATCAAAGACTAATGAAAGCACTCATATTTACCCTTCATCAAAGGCTACTAATTACTCTGTTGACATGTCTCAATTTAACCACAAAAAGTACTAAAGCACACAAAAAATAGAATTCTCATTAACAGATGTGTCGATTATGACACATTTGGATGATAGTAATCTAGAGGAAACGTCGCAAAGAGAACATACAGCCGTAAAAAGTGAATTGAAACCACAAATAATGAGAGGGAGAGGGGAGGGGAAGTGGGAAGGGGAGGGGACACCGCGGGTGGGCGAGAGCTCGTGCCGTAAAAAGCGCGCTCATCTGCGACAGCCGCAGACTCCATTACGGTGCTCGTGGCCTAGCTTAATCTTGGCTTTATTAATGGCCCCCGCGACGGTGGTCCCCGACAATTGCTACTCATTGACCGGCGCCGCCCCGGTATCGTATTGATGTCTCCATCCTGCACACTACATCACACTGAATCTACTTACGAACAAGGTAATGATACGAAACTATACGCACCTATAACCTCAATTATTTGCTCTTAGGATTTCTAAATAAGAACCATTATTAACACCGACCTGTTAATATCATATTATTTAGCTACTTGGATTAACAATAGTAATTTAAACAATAAAAACCAACTAAATATCGGACGAACATTGAAACGCATCTTGAACACTTTTCTACGTAAGTGCCGCTTACAATGTCACAAACACCAAAGTTTTAATAGAATTTGCGGTTTAAGACGCTGTTATGTATTTAAATGTCGTTTCAGTATTCTGCCGTAATTGTAATCGATACACATTGGAGACGAATACGAATAGAATTACAGCCCAATCTTCGATATCGGTCCAGTCGGTTAGGCTCCAGGAGATTACATGCATGTCCGCGAAAAAAATTAATCGCCACTCAGACAAAAACATCGATATTTCAATACCATAAAGTAAAAAACCCACATCATTTGATAGATCACGGTCGCAAGTACCTACGTAAATGACTTCCGTGTATCACAGATTTTATTTCTCATCGAAGAATATGAAAATTAATTCATCAATAACACGATCACATAAAAAAGTCGTCAGTTATTGATAGGTTGTGGTTGATAAATTACTGTTGCAAAAAATGGTGCAAGTTGATTGAGAGCCACCTCAGAGACCTTGGCTACGGTTCACAGTATAACGGTATTTATGAGACAGGACCACACTAGTACTTGCCGTAACATGTAGGCTATCTAGTCTATTAAGCCACCTGGTCTAATCATATTAATTTCCAGTAGCGTGTGGTCTGGTTGTTCGAACCAACACCAATCGAAATAATTAAGGAGCTCGATTGAACGTATCCCATAGTTGATAAAGACACTTTTTACTAACATGGTTGAAGCCCTGTAGACAACTCTTAACATATCTGTGCAGTAAGGCAAAACCGAGAGTAAAAATATAATCTTTTACGCAGCGACGACGATAGGTTAGGGCGCACATGGACTACAGCCCAGGGCGCTGGACAGAAAGGGATGCCAGTCAACGAAATTACAATTTTACATAAGTTTTTTAACCGTCCCCGCTTCCTCAAAATGGGGGGCCCGTAGAAATCTCAGAGCGCTTGTAGTGATCAAAAAGGTTTTGCTTTTATGGGATTGAGACTAGTGCTACATTAACATTCGCAGTGATCCTTTAATTTGATAGATTTCTAGACTATGTTAGCTTGCTTCAAATCACCCAATTTCAATATAAGAGTCGCAAAACATTAATCCAACCACGATTCTTAATTACAATTACATTTGACCTTCGTAATCATATAAAGAAAGCCGTTATCGTAACAACGTCATGTAATAGAATTAAATCTCTTTCCCCATAACTAAACACAGATTTATCACCCTCTAACCAAATTACTCGTAAACTGATCGCGACCGCGGGATGGAGGGTTGAGGGCGCCTCGTTAGACTCTCAACCTACTTCAAATTCAACCCGTGATCTTCGCTCCCTGTCTACTGACAGGGGAAAGTAGCAAAATTTCGTTGAGATTATACGTTAGCTCACTAGGCACTAATTTAGACGTTTTATGAATATATAAATGAAAATATTTTACATTTTTTGCACAGATTTAGTATGTACAAAATGTGTCACGAGGTCAAAAACGTAGTAATTACAAAACTTAACTTTTTGCAAAATTATATTTAAAAGAAGAAAAACCTGTCGCTTAATTTAATAATTTAATTTTATATTCATATTTAAAATGTATTGAAAAACAGTAGTTATAATGGTTTTAAAATAATTCGAGAATCTAACCTCAATTTAAGAGAAAACAAATACATAAGTATCAAAGTAGACAAAACCAAAGTTTACCACAACAGGTGTCCGAGCGGATATTTCTAATATTCTAAGAGCTTTCTCTCAAGCTTCAAGTCATAAAGATTCCTTTGAGTTCCCAACGGATTTATGTTGCGTTAAAAGTTTAATCTACAATACTATTTAGAGCCTACCTATTACTTTTACTTCTTAAACATGAGTAATGTTTAACTTCAAAATAAGCTAAAAGACTTGTAACATAAAAAATTAAATAAAAACAATTTGAAACTGCAAGTACACTTTTCTATCGTAATCTTTCCTGCCTTTACCTTTAATAAAAAACATAACATTAGATTTTTTGTATGTTAATATGCATACTTGCTTGGAGAACAAACAGATAACTCTCATTAGTGCTATGATTAATAAACGGTCATAAATCCCGTCCTTGGAACGGACAAAGCCGCGCCGTCACACGTGGCGGGGACATGTTCTTAGAAAAACAATTCGCACTGCGAGCTCCGGCAGCTTTTTGTGCGGATATTATTGCTAATTAGGACCCTTGAAAGTGGTCTTTAATGATAAATAATACTTAGGGCCTGTCCCACCAAATTGTAAATTGTCCAATAACAATCAAACGTGTTTACATCATCACATATTTGGTATATGTGACGGAAATATCGGATTTTGTTGCCTTATCTGACTGTGACTTCATTTAAGCTATCTGATCCTCTATCAGCGAGTGGTGGGACAGGCCTTTAATAATAATAATTTTAAATTGAGACAAAATTCCGACGATAAAGTTAGACTGACTCTTGCTTCTTTATCTAGTTTTAAATATTGTTTTATAAAGAGCCAATTCGGCTCTTTATATAGTGTTTTACAATTTGTAAATACAAAATAAGATGTCATGAAAAATTTAATTAAAAAAATATTTCAACACCTACATCAAACAAACATTTAACAATTACTGCATTTTTTTCTTTTAAAATGAAATTAAAATAGGACCAATTTCAAACGTCCGTATCATCATATACCTAAGAAATGGTCATTCATTCGGAAAAGTAAGTATGTGTAGCGTGCAGATATCAAAATAAACTTCAAAACAATGTTGCAAAGGACGGAAACACAGGCAGTTTACAACTTTTTAACAGCGCGCCGCGGCCGCTGTAAATCACAAGCTTTGGCCCCCTTCAGAAGTAATATCGACTTCTTCGAACTCACATTAATCCTCCATTCCTCAATATGCTAAAGGAAACGTCTTGCCACAAAGGAACGAACGATTTTAACGAACTTCGCAACATCGCTGTATGAATACTCAAACACCGTCTACATAATTAGTTATGTTCTACATTCTACGACGAGACTTTGACTAACGATAACAATCTTACTAATATTATTAATGCGAAAGTAAAGATGAATGGATGTTAAGAGTTTGCAGCCTAAACGACGGAACGGATCTCTATGAAATTTGCCATAGATGTAGAGGATAGTCTGGAAGAACACATAAGCTACATGCTTTTGTTTTTTTTTAAATTGCACGTGGACTGAGTCGAGGACTAAAGTTAGTTATAGTTACATTTAAGAAAAAGTATGTACCTACTACGTTTAAATAACTTACTTTAAAACCATCCAGTGATAGTTCTAGGTTACTTAAATTGTCTAAATCTCAAACGCCTTTCCGCTGTTATTCGTCGGATACAGATTAAAATAGACAAAACCCTAAGAGCATGTATCTAAAACGATAAATAACTGTTGTGAATCTTTTGTCGTTTTTTCAACCGTTTATGAAGAGAATATAACTATTGAAAACGTCGGCGAGCTTCATAAAACAGTAGCACGTTCTGCGATCAGCTGTACACTTGTGACAAATCGCTACACCGAGAACAAAATGTTGTAGAGTCGACAATAATTATAAAAACTTTTTTTTTAGTTTGATACAGTATTACATGTTTTACAGTATTCAATTTATACTAAAATGTAAAGCCGTAAAATAAAATTTTCTAGAAAATTCGTTACCCAACGAAACCCAAAATTGTTACCAACAACAGTAGCAACATTGAAACACATGATTCTTTAAAAGTAAAGACATAGAATTGGTTGCTGCCAGGACATAATAATATGTGTATTTGATTAATCTGGGTCAAACTGTTTCTAACATTA